ACATTTTTCACTTACAAAATGCAATCTGAACAACATTTTTCACGAAGGCAAAGGGCACTTTTTGTGTTTTCTGAAAACATGGGGGGGGGGGCTTGCCCCCCTTGGTTCTTACGCCCCTGTAGAAGCTCCTTCGTGGTCATGATTTCAGGGCTTGAAATAACAGCCGATCACCAATCAACGATCGGCAAGAAGTTGCTTATGATCGGTGGAAAAGCAGGGTTTCCAACCTGAAAAAGCAGGGAAAGTTATGACTGCCGATGACCATGATCGGGAACTTTGGGAACGTTACTTCAAGCCCTGTGATTTCATTTGTATTTTCTCAAGCATATTGAGTAGCATTGAGCAGGAACTGAATATTTTGCAAACATTGCAGGTTATTTCATAGGAAGAAAGGAGCTGGATGATGTTATTGAAAAACTGAAGAAACTTGAGTACCAGGTAGACGAGAAATTTTGTGAAATAGCACTGGATAGCATTGAACTAAAATTGTGCACAAAAGAGGGAGTTCCTACTAAGATTAAACCTACTGATGCACCCGACGGTTACTGCAAAATACTCAAATCAATTAATTATTAAATACATTGCCAAGTATTTCGATGTTAATGGGCACCGTTATAAATTTTGGAGTGTTTGAGGAAGAACTAGTTCGTCTAATTCCTCTTTCTACACACATTTAAAAGTTTTGGGAGATCAGAAGTAAAAACTGTAGTTTTTGTAAACGAAATAGTCTGGATCTATTCTTTTGTATACTGTAAATTAGTCTTTACTGATTGTGGATATACATCGACACTATTGACACTTGTGATTGCCATGAAAACGACGTTTTACTCAATGGTGGTGAAATCATGGATTGTGAAATGACGTTGGATTCATGTGACGTCACAATTTGCAACTAGGTTTAGACTGTGACGTCACGAAGTTTCCTATGCAGTTATTTTACAATCCATGGTGATATAATGACGGACAATTTATTGTTTTCCCCCCAAAACCGCGAAAAACTGTCGAAATGTTGAAAAAAAGCATTGAGAACACTGTTGTTGCAGTTTTCGTAACCCAACAATATTATAACAATTCATAATTTTTGTGTTTCTCTTTTAATACTCTAAACATTTATATGATTGCCACTCATTTGCATCAAAGAACAAGGCAATAAATTGTTTTGAACTCATATGAGAACATTTTAGTTTTTGACCAAAAATACGAGCTTCATGCCCACTTGCTTAGATGTATTTTGTAACTAAAAGACAAGCTAGTGATTGTTTGCAAGTGCAATTTAAGTTTTTTGCAGACAATTGTGCATATTTATCGAACAGACAGAACATGCCACATTGTGAACTATACTCAAAAACACCCAATAAAAATATTTTTATTTCATGTAAAAATTAGAAAAAACAATTATAAATCTTTTGTTTACAAATTAGGTTATCATTAATATATTTTAACAAAACGTTTTGTTGGTTTTAAGAACATATTAAATACAAAGTTTATAATAGGTTTATAATAAATTCTAGAATTTCACTTTATAGATTATATAGTTATAATGTCATGAATTTAATATACGACATCTTGTATAAAGTTGTTATTGAATAGAATCTTAGGGTACAAGATTAAAGTGTACGATATTTTTAAAAATAAGTAGCCATGATGCTTGCCAGAATTAGGCTTCCTATTAAAAAAGCACGTTTAAATATGCAAATTTTTAATTTTAATCAAAAATTTTTTAAATTGCCTTAGTTGATTTAAAAAATGATCAAATTATCAGGCTGTTATTGTCGTTCCCATCTGCAGAGCTGGTGGAACTCTCGCTTTCTACAACAGTGTAATTTGCCATCCCATCATTGATGCGAAGATTTGATTTCTTTAAAAGACTAAAAACATAAAAAAACATCGTTGTTTATGCTTCGTCGCATTTAGAACAACAAGCGATTATAGAACAATCCCAGACGCAATCTGATTGGATGAAACCATTCGAGTACGAAATTTAGATTTCGGGAAGCTTGTTTCTTCACAAATTAATGGCGAACATTTTAACGAAATATACTGGCTTTTAACTTCTTATTTGACGGAGAATTTCATTCTTTACAAGCGCTTTAAGCTATGTTTTGGACATAGCAACAGTCTATGTTCAGTTTGGTTGCAAAAAGTCGGAAGAAAAGCGACGAAGGCGATGCTGTGATGGTGCATCCAGACAAGAACCCGCGCGGTCAAGTATTGACAAGTAAGGCAGATTTTAAACTTCATTTTAAGCCGTGAGACGAGTACGTTTCCTTATTGAATAGCTTTATATGAAAACACTTGAATAACATAGGTTTTAGACTAACAGACGTTTGAAGGTAACTTGTAAGCGTTTGTCATAAAATCCATCAAATAAAACTCGTGAATGACAAATAGTTGCTCGTCTGCCATCACGTCAATTTGAGCTGTATGTGAGTGAAAAATTATGAATTATACCGATTACTATACCTAAAACTCTTCTGTAGAAAAGTGAAATAAACTAGCGGAGCAAAAAGTGCATAAAACAGTAGAACAGCAACATTTAAAATACTAAAATAAGAAAAAAATAGCCATTAGTTTTAAACGTATGTACAGAGACCTTTTGCAAAAGAATAATGCCAGTCATGTCAATGTTCCATTGTCGTTTTATTGTTTTAAAAATCTCACTGTTCTCCATACCATCCAGCCATTCTTTTTACATATTTATGATGGTGCAAAAAGCTATTGACTTGTACAAATTTGAACAAGTATTTCAACATTCGTGCCGTTTGGTATGTCTTGTTTACTGTCCAATAAAGTTTACAATATAATATAATATATAATATAACATTGAATTTGTCATTCAAACCTACCAAAGCCCGTAAGTTTTTCTGTAATAAACCAACAAGCTACCAATAGCTTCTAAAAGATTAACCACGCACAATATGGCGGCGTATCGGTAGAATGCTCTGTTAGCTAGTGAACAAAACAGAAAGTTGGTAGTAAATAAAAAAGATGAGCAAAATTCAAGCAAAGGCAAAATGAAACTAGCTCACTCACAGGGTAAGGAAAGGAAGCCACGACCATACAAGCAATTTGTTTGTGGGAGAATTACAATGGAGCTATAAATCTATGAAGGATAGATAAGAAAAATTAACATGAATGACCAATCACTCTGGGTATAGGTTCTTTGGAAATACCAGAATTTGGGGCATCTACGGTACACTCAATAGAAGAGTTAATATGTCTATAGATGGTTTTCGAGTGTGAATTTTATACATTTATTAGAACCATAGGGCTCTGCTAGGGTTCTTTGGGCAATAACTATTATAACGGTTTTGTTTTGGAAAAAAAAAACACCAGCTTATTTATTTAACAAGTTTGTGACACCCAAAACAAAAACTATGGTTGGACATTTTAAGACTTGTGTACACTGCCAGGCGTGGCATGAGAAAACTAATATGCTCAAAGAATGTGGTGTTTTTAACTTTAGCTAGTTCGATGACATACCACAAAAAATACACAAGATGTTATGAACCAGAACAGCATTCCGCCATGTTGAAACATCATGTACTTATTCTTAAAAATTCGAGTACGATCTGGTGTGTAGACTTCTAACAAAGACTGAAAGAAAAATAGTTAGATTTTATGTTTAGCTTTATTGTAATCATTTTAAAAAGGGGCATTCCAGAAAAGATCCACACTCCCTCCATGGAGGAAATTTCTGCCGTCCAGAGGGGGAGGGGAGAAAACATTGTTTCTGATAATAGTAAATGTATTAGGACATCTGAAGGGAGTAGGGGGGTTAACTTCCAATTTCCTCTGTGTGGGTGGTATGGATGTTTTCTGGAATAACCCAATTTGATGACTTAATGAGTGACAATGATATTTTTAATTGATAGTTAAGTTCATTTCTAATTGATAATTAAGATGATTAATGATCTAATTAAGTACTGGTAATGATATTTTTAATTGATAATGGGTTTAGCAAACTGCCCATGCATCCTGTTAACCCTTTAATATGTGCCCTCGATAATGATAAATAATGCATGACTTAATTCCATTTTATGCCAGTAAAGATGATTTCAAACCTGTATGGTTGCATAAACAAGAGCAAGAAAAAATGAAAGAGAGATAACTCTTTTGCCAACACCTTTTCCTCGACCATTGCCTGCAAGAAATAAGTTTTATTTAAAGGGATGTGGCAATAAAAATGAACTTGGTCTTATTTGAAAGAACTTTTAAACTTATATATGAAGATCCTTTACAACTTTTTCAGACCTCAATGCTTGGTTTTCAAAATATTTTGACCAAAAACAGTGTGCAGTCCACCATCTTGGTATTATAATTGACCTAATTAACTGAGTTTTTGATGACGTCACAAGCAGGGTAAACTTGTTAAAACTACTTCATGTGGGATTAAATTTCTTTGAAAAGTTTCTTAAATTGTTGTGAGTAAATTGAGTACTAAAAAGACTTCGGAAAATCGAGTTTCATATTGATAATGACATGTGGTTTGCAAGATAAAAATTTTGTTTTTTTCTCAAATTGTGACATATGCATATCGAATGTATATCCAAGAAGGTGGAATGCATGCATAAATATGTTAACTTTCAATACCAAACAGTCCATATCCAATAACACTTATTTCCACTGCAAGGACAAGAAAACGTAAGAGCAGCCACAAGCTCTAGAATGACAAATGTGTTTTAAATTGATTACAAGGATATAACCAGAGTGTCATATGTCATGCAGTATGTGTTTCAGTAAGCATACCTCGTTAGCTATGTTGTCGTCCGGGCTGTGTGCTCTGGTTATACTGGCAATAAACCCTCGTATAACATTCACCACACATACCAGTGATACCTACAGATTTAATAGAATAATTAAACTTGAATAACATTAGTCATGACCACCAACATCACCACTTCCTCCTGATCACCACTACCACTGTCATCACCATCACTTCAGACTTCTGTCCTAATCACCACCACCAGCTCCTACCATGATCTTTCCTCCACAAGAGGTAAGACCAAGGACCAAGGTTGATTCACCATCACTTCTGTCCTAATCACCACCATCATCAGCCATCAGGATCACTACCATCATTATCACCATCATCACCACCATCATCACTTCCTCCTATTCACCATTAACACCATCATCACCAGCTACTACCATGATCTTTCCTCCACAAGAGGTAAGACCAAGGACCAAGGTTGATTCACCATCACTTCTGTCCTAATCATCAGCCATCCGGATCACTACCATCATCATCATCATCATCATCATCACTCGTCCATCTTAGTCACCAACACCACCACTATCATCACCATCAATGCTATATCCTAATCATGATCATCACCACCACCATCGTTATCGTCATCAGGACCATCACTATCATCACCACCACCACCGTTATCGTCAGCAGGACCATCACTATCATCACCATCAATGCTATATCCTAATCACTATCATTATCACCACCATCGACATCATCACCAGGACCATCATTATCATCACCATCAAAGCTATATCCTAATCATGATCATCGTCACCACCATCGTTATCGTCACCAGGACCATCACTATCATCACCATCAAAGCTATATCCTAATCATGATCATCGTCACCACCATTATTATCGTCAGCACCATTATCTGGCCATCACCACTACCACTGTTACCATTATCATCACCAAGACATAACCACATAATAATATATACAGCTTTAAATTACAAAGTTTACCAATATAAGCAGAGTTTTGACCATTGGAAAATTATGTCGTTGAAACATTCTGTAGAATAAGCCAATATGGTAGGCCAAAAAAATCAGAAATATCACATTCGGTGCCAGTAATGCCAGGTTCCAATATGTTATACTGCAAGAAACAAATTAATAAGAATTTATTTATTTAGGTGAGACTTTTTTATTCATTGGTTTACGGATCCACCGATGGTAAATATTCAGAAAAGCGAAAAATAAAAAAAAATTGGATGTCAACAATTTTACGATTTTACAGTAGTTAATTTTAGTTAATTTAGGGTGACATAAAGTACACGCCAAGTAAACCTTGACTCTAAGTACTGCTGGTTATTGTTATGACAATCTTGAAAAACAATATTTTTAAAAAATTTTTTCCGACCTACCGACCTGTTTTTTTTTCAACTAAAATCTGCAAACCAATAAATAAAAAAAAGTCTAGCCTGGTTAAGTTTTGACAGTTACAAGTCAGAACAAAATGGCAGCTAAGGAACATCGACACAGCATGAGTCAATTTACATTGATGACCTGGTTTCCACATACAAATTGCACTCTTTTAATACCATAACCATGTTACAAATCCTGGCGTGGGAGCCCTGCTCTGGTATGAACCAATAGCCTTTTGTCATAATAAAATAAATTGTAATTTAAGAGAAGAAATATGTGTGAAGACCATTTTTGGATTATTTGATTTTTTTAAATAATATTAAAATACATAGTAACATCGAAGCATGCATCTGACCATCAACAATAGATTTTGTCCTGCTTCACTGACTTGTTCTATGAATGGGGTGTCCAAAAGAGTACTGCTCTACTTTATTAAATTTTACTGTCTTATGCCAGACAATTTTACTCATCAAGGGCAGAGTGCTGGTGTCAAGTTAACCATTCAGTTGCATTACATCCTACTTATTCGGCGCTCATTGGGTTAATAGACAGGTTCAGATTTGACTTCCACTACCACTACCGCTACCTTAAATGTGTTACGCATGCGCAGTAACTGCAAGAGCGTGAGGAAATCGTCGCATGTTTTTGTTTTGGGACCGTAACAAAGGTCATCAGGAGAAATCTAATCTGAACAGGTCTAAACAGTCTGTCGTGACCGCTACCAATGGAGCCGTCAAAGGTAGCGATAGTGGTAGTGGTAGTTGAATCTGAACCTGTCTAATAAATAATTGGGATCCAAACTGGAAAGTTTGGAAATTGCATGCCAGAGATTTTGAAAATTTAATAGTAAATATATAGAAAGCATCAAAATTGCACGGCGGATATCTCCAAAAGCTGATTTATATAATCAAGTATAAAATCAATGATTTATTATTCTAAATATGAAAATAAATATGTATTGTAAAATGATATCTCAGGGGAATATATATTACATGCACAAAATAATAATGCAAATTTCTAAACAGAAATCAGATTCACTGATTGAGTTTATCATTGAAATATATGTATTTCCTGAGGGGAGATCTATTTCATTTCGCTTGTACACGGTGTATAAAATTTATTGGAATTTGAATGCATAGCACTATTCTAAACCCACGGCTGCATAAAACTATTCTGAAGTGAATTTTATGCATGACGAAGTTATTTATAAAAACTTTAATTTCGTTTGATAATTTTTTATGTAGTTATTCTCCTTCATACGATTAGAAGCTATTTTCAATTCCCAGGAGCATAAAATCTTGTGCTTCACAACAATAGTGTGATTTCTAAGCTCTCGTTTATATATTCTGTATGTAATTCCCGAGGGGGTATCTATTTCATTTTGTTAGTATTAAAATATGCCAAACAGAATGTCTTTATACCATGTATTTCCAATGGATTTTTCCAACATTTCTCTGCACACACCATAATCTATGGGCTCTCCGATCGATGAAGCATTTTGTGTCGTTAATAACAACGTTGGCAGTAGATCATTCCTCTCCATAATTTCAGTTCAAGAAATGAAAATTAAGAAAGTGTGTTTGTTCTAAAAACGAGTTCCGGTTCTCCGCCGGCACGACAAATTGGGAGCAAAATATTCAAAATCCACTTTTAACATCCATATTTAGAATTCGTCTAAAATCCATAAAATATAATAGACAAGTCATGATAAGTTTGGTTTATTAAATCATGTTCGATCCAGGCATCCAGCGACAAACAATGCGTCAGAGAAATGATATAATTTATAAAACGATAGAAAAATATTTCTGCACCGCTTGCCTTGTCAGCACGTGACGAACTCGTGTTTTGAAAGTTCCGAGAAAACCTCGAGGCATTTGGATTTAGCATAGGAACGTTTCGTTTGAATTTTTTGCAAAAAGTATGCAAATATTTTTTTGTGTAAATAAAAATGTAAATTTTGAAATCACTGATTTGAAATCAAAATATCAGTAATATAAATTTGAAATCAATAATAAATTTTTATAATGCTAAAAAACCTACTTCTGAATGATGGAATTAATCTACTCCTAAGGGATGGAATTATTCCACTTCTGGACGATGGAAATGTTCTACTTCTGAAGGATGTAATAATTCGATTTCGAAGGATCAATTCTACTTCTGATAGATGGGCTAATTCCTAGCCTGAGTGTCAGACGAATAACGAATTATATCTAATTCCACGCCCACGAGTTTATTCGAAATTTGCTGTAGTTTATTTTTAATTTCCACAAAGTTTCCACAAATCCCACCAACTATGGACGTATCTTTGGTTCTAGATGTAGCAATGCTTTTTGTTTTGTTTGCCAATATTTTAGTTTGTCCTTTCACCAAAGTTGAGGAGAGTTTCAATTTACAAGCCACTCATGATGTTTTGTACCATGGATTAAATATTTCAATGGTAAGGCTAATTATACCGTTCCGGAAAGTATGTTATATTGGCTATAGAGCCTTGTTTTTGTGTGTGTGACATTAGTTAAACCCCAATGTCTTTAAGCATGAAAACGAGGCTATATCATGAGGACCCGCACGATGTGTGAAAAAATTAAGGCAAAATGTGTTCGTTCCCATGGCGTTTGTAAGGCAAGCGTTTGAGGGTTGACATATACAAATTAAATTAACTCACCCAATTGTATCATACTAGTGTAATTTAATAGTCCGTTTTATTCTTGGTTTAAATATTGATAAGCTACATCCGATTTAGTAATAATTTAATAATTCGTAATGGCTTAACACATTTGTCAACGCCGCAGTTGGGAGTTATAAATGCAAACACGCGCCAATTTCGAACAAAAACAGCTGTGTGCTCAGATCAATGCGCGAAATGTACTTTCCAGTATATTCGCATTGGTTTGACTATAGCAAGAATTAACGCGTACAATGACTTGCTCTTTGGCCATCCGAAATCTGGTAGAAAGCACGAAGGAAGCGCAACTTTCCGGTTGTTCTCTAGCGACGTAGAAAAGGTATTAAATATCTCTGATCTTAAAGACCACGACAGCAAACAGCCATAATATAGATGAAGACGGCTCAGACCCCGCAGGAAACGCGGACCTAGAGCCAAGTCCAAAGCGTGTTCGAATGGAAAGACAAGAACAGGAGATTGTTTTTCTCTCCGTGCGCGCCAAAATGACATCGCCGCACGCGTCATTAAATCGAAGGAAATATCACCACAAGAAAGGACGCGTCGCATTAAAACGAATGGCGAGCAATTCATCGGAAATCCCCGAATGTTGTTGCGTGTGCCTATCAGGAGAACCCCGAGCATAACATCAACGAAATTATCGGCATCAGAAGGCGGTTGCCGGGTATATAATATTCTGATGTTGTGATTTGGGGGCAACCGATGTGATATTTTCAAGACTCGAGGCATTAGACACGACTCTTTCGGAACAAAGCCAGTCAATTCTGCTTAAATCTATTAAAATGCCAGATTGGACTATGCTTCTTCTGAAAGTCAGAATAAAAATTTCAGACGTAGGATGGCAGACACTACTTAGTTACAGTCCATAACTTGGACGCACTGGGGTATGTTGATATTTTTTTCTGTGCTGGTGTTGTTACTGTTGTGTACTCAGGTGAATACATGTTTGTGATGTTACTCTGAGTGTATATCCACACCGGGTGAGCTTGAAAAATATGCCCGGCCACGGTGGGAATTGAACCTATGACCTTTGGATTACTAGCCCAATGCTCTGCCAACTTTGATACCCTCTTTCATATTTAATACAAATACATAGTCGTCTGGTCAAGTACATTTCCAAAATAGACAAAAATGTGTACAAAACACTCTCATGCATGGCCAATGATTTACGGGTAATATTAAGCGCAAGTATGAAATTATAAGTGTAACTGCATGATAATTGTTTTACTGCATGGTAATATTTTACCCAAGGTGTGATAGATTTGCATACTGACGCATATATTTAAACGTGTTTATTAGACAGTTTATACACTATTGTTATTTGTTTGACTCATT